TGTTTTTTGTTATGGGTGTATTGTTGTGATAAGGGGGGGAGATGCTCCATCACTGGGTGTTGTTAGCTAGTCTTTTGTGTTCCGTGATCACAGGTCCTTGTAGCTGAGTAGGGTTCGTTGATCCTTTGCAGGCTGTATTGTTCAGTGCTGGGAGCCAGGCTTTGTTGAGTTTTAGACTTTCTTCTTTTTTGTTGAAGCTCTGCTGGTGTCTGTGGATTTCAATGGCTTCCCTATATAGTCTAACATAATGATTGCTGGTGTTGTCCAGTACTTCTGTATTTGAAATAGAATTTCAAAATTTAAAGATTGCTTTGCAGGATCATCTGGAAAAATGTGTTTGCTAGAAATGAAGAATGTACTGCAATACCTTCACAGGGGGAAATAGATTTCCATCTGGACCACATGTGGAGCAGTCCAATATGATCTATACTTGTGGAGCAGTCCAGTGTGATATTTTCCCTGGTGATTAAAAACACATGAGGTAATGTACTAGAACTTGACCCCAAGCTTAACCTCTTTGGTCGAGCTGTAGGGCTTCTACTTTTTTGGGGGGGGCAGACTGAAGGAATTCTCTGTCAGATGGAAGGAGCATTTTAAGAGAGAACACTCCTATTAAAGTGACCCTTTCTCGTGCATCAAGTGTGCACTTTTGCAGCTGTCTGATTGCACCCTTAGAGAGGAGCACCATGCCACACAGAAACCAGGGAGGTCTTGCTTTTGAATAGATATGTACATTACTGTACTCTTTCACAAACAGTATTTAGCTCTAGCTTACCGTGGGTGAAATCCACCCTTACTTAGAAGAGTACACTAGCCCTGCCCTCCCAGTTATATCTTTAATCACCACAATATAACTATTTGAAGAAGGGGAGTTGCTGTACCTGGAATTCATGTGAGCCGAAACACCAATGTGGAGGTTGGGGTGGTCATGTGAACAGACTACTTGGCTACTGTCACCTCCTCTTCTTCAAATAGTAACTTTTCTGTGATTGGGAGGGTGTGGCTAGTAAAATCCTCTCAATGTGTCTAGTTTTGACAAGCTAAAGCATGACTGCAGGACTGTAATCAAGCTTGACCAGATTTGGGTAACCAGCTCAAGGTTGACTCAGTTCTTCCGTCCGTCTGTCCGAGGTTGAGGTTTGTAAATTGAGTACCCAGCTCACTCTGTGTGTGTGTTTGTTGCATAATTAAGTGTTGTTTGCATAATTAAGTTGTAAATTGTCCAGAGAGTGCTCTCGCACTATGGGGCAGTATATAAGTCCAAACAACAACAGGGCTACTCTCTGTGTGCGTCTTTACTGAAATAATTAGGCATAGTCAGTGTGTATGTTATATCCTTTCCCTCCAAAATCACAATAAAGCCAATGTATTTAAAAGAAGGGCAACATTTTGCAGCAAGCAGATGGAAAGATTTTCTTATCACATTTAAAATACAATACAGTGGTGCCTCGCTTAACGATTTTAATTGGTTCCAAAAAAAACCATCGCTATGTGAAAACATTGTTAAGCGAAACACCATTTCCCATAGAGATGCATTGAAAACCGGATAATCCATTCCAATTGGAACGGATTACCATCCTTAAGTGAAAATCCCCATAGGGAAAAACGTTAAGCGAAACCCATTGAAATGCATTGAAGCCTATTTCAATGGGGGGAAAAATTCACAAAAAATTCAAAAAGACTCAGAACAAAGCCAAATTAAGTTAACGAAGGTTTTATTAGGTGCACTAACAATTCCAAGCATTTTAAACATTTTTAAACATTTTAGAATAATTTTAAATAGCAAAAACGGGGCTGTAAAAAAAAAGGGAAACAAGGGGACCTAAAACTGTCATCATTAAGTGAAGCGTGGTCCCGAAATCGTTAAGCGAAAATCGCCCATAGGGAAAAGCGTTAAGTGAAGCACAAGATCGCTCCGAAAAAGCCATTGTTAAGTGAATTTTTCGTTGTACAAAGCAATCATTAAGCAAGGCACAACTGTATTGATAAATAATGCATCGGAAGTGTCCTGGAAAGAAGCAGCAGTTATTTCTCAACATGTTGATGAACCTCCAAGAAGACCAGGAAGGCCAGCTGGAGGAGGAGAACTGTCTCAAATATATAACATGTGTGCAACTCTTGTGTAATATTGCCCAAATGGGATGACAGTTGAGCAAAACTCAGTCCCCGAACATGGGTTCACGACAATCCTGAACACTAAGTTCACTCACATGAACCCACACCACCTCCACCTTTTGAACTAGACACCAAAGGAATCTGCATATCAAATAAACGTTGAACAATGAAGGGGAACCTGCCCAGTTTGTGGCCGCTGAGACAGAAGGCACAGCAATGATTAAGGAGAGAAAAACTTGTTAACATCACAATAAAAGTGTTAGATTACACCAATAAACTACTGAAATTATAGACTGTGAAACTCAACTCCAAAGGGTTCTGGTCATTAGTGTACCTATGAGGGATTTCACAATATTTTTCCAGGAGTGTAAGAATTTAGATATATGCAATTAAACAAACATTTTTTTTGTATGGACAAGAACAGTTTTCTGAATTAATGCAAAAGTGGGCTTGAACAATTTTAGGAGTGAATGAAAACAGGAGGAGTATGGATTCCAAATGCATTGATTCAGCTATCTCTATGTGTCTGCTCTGTACTGAAGAGCCATGACAAATTCACTAGTGCCTCCATTTATATTAGAGGCTGGAGGTAGGGGAAATATTATGCTAATGAGTGCTTTTGAAGGAATGGCAATGAGAGCTGGAACATCAGAGACCCTATTCATGCTTTTCTCTTGTGTTTTCCTATTCATCTATTCATGTTCTATCTTTGTTTGACAGGAGTCCTGGAACTTGGGAAATGCTCCTCAAATGCCATGGCCAAAAAAAGGCTGAGAACAGCTGCTCTAGAGTGCGTAAGGAACCTTTTAAACATTATTATTTTCTGCTTTTTGGGGAGGTGGTGTCAGGGGGTTAAAAGCTACTGCAGAGCATGAGTAATAGGGCCACACACATTCCTCAGACTTTAGGATGTTTCGGATTGCTGTTTTGAAGGCACAAAGGCACTGAGCTGATAATTACCAGTTCATTATTTCATGTAGAAAAAGAAGAATCCAGTTGTAATCCATGAATCTGGGAGCAAGTACTTCCTCACCCCCTCCCCTCTCTCTGGCATAATCAAAAAAAGAATATGAGGAAAATCAAAGTTTATTGCCATCATGATTACTTTCAGGTTAAAACCACATTTTGAGACCCCGCCTCTTGTCTCACCCAAGGAATACATTGTGTGAATGGTCATGCAAATATTTGTTCAGATAAGGTATCTCCATATGGTAGGTACATCTCGTTTATGGTGGACTCACAAAGGGATGTTGGCAGAGGTCTTGTAAAGTGGGGCAGAATATATTTAGCCAAAAGGCTCCATTTGGGTTGGCAGAAGCTGGTATCTGGGCTTAGTTATGTCAAAGTAAAATCGGGTAAGTTATTTAAGCATAATATAATATGGAGGTGGTCATTCAGAACTGAGAGACAGGAAGATAATGAGCTTGAATGCAAAGTGTGTTATTTCTCCAAGTGCTATTTAGGCATGAATTGCACTGAGAGACAGGAAGATAATGAGCTTGAACACAAAGTGTGTTATTTCTCCAAATGCTGTTTAGGCATGAACTGCTTTGACATTGTATTTGTGCTTCTTAACAGCTGCATTTCAGGCTCTACACAGATGTGCACATCCAGAGGAAGCCTGCTATTGTTGATCTAAAGACAGAACTAAAATTTATCCCACACTTCCCTTTCCTAATACACAGGACAGGTCAAAGATACCATTTACAGGGCAGGAAATGGTGCCATTACTAAGAACGCAGGGCAGAATCTAGTGAAGTGTTAGAAATATTGGATGCTGCCTTCAGTAGGTTTGTCTGGGGAGGGCTTTTCTGGGCTGGGGTGATTGTCAAAGTACCTAGCACCAACCAAACATTCCCTCCTACCTCTGATTTCAAAGAAAGCCCCGTCTCTCTGCTGAGAGTTTTCCCCACCACCACCTCCTTTACCCTGTTGAAGTCTGTTGCTGTGAGTCTCATTGTTGTGAGTCACTGAAAACTTTTCCATAATTATAACCAGGGGTGTGCAAATATTAAAAGATTCATGGAACAGCTGCCCAAAATATTTGGAGTAGCATATTTTCCCTGCTCTTGTTGTAATATAAATTGAATTCGTCAAAAGAAACCTCCAGTTTATGAATGTGGGATATTGCGCTTCTATACCCATAATTCCAAAAGTCAGGAAATGACCCAACATTGCTGCACAGTGCACAATATCATGCCTGTATTGCCAGCAGGAAAAAGAATTCCAAACTTTACATAGCAAAGGGTAGCCTGAATGTTGACAACACCAATGGCAGCAGTCAAGATGGTTTACACAACGCCCTCTTCTGCTCGCTAACACTCACTAAGTGACACCAATCAGGGGAAAATCAGCGAACTGACTCCTTTTTTTAAAATTAGTAAACCACTTCTCACCCAAATACAAAACAACTGCTATGGCTGTTTTTCAGCAAGTGTGAATGATGAGCAGAAGAGGGTCCATAGTTGTTTGGGGCACATTATTTTCAGAGTTGGCTTATGGAGTGCTGAATGGTGTTGGCAGCATAATAGATTGGGGCCTGCCCAGAGAACCAATAATATAGCTCAGTGGCTCAGGCAACTGCTGCGGAGTCAGAGGCTGGGCGTTTGATTTCCCACTGTGACAGGAGCTAGACTTGATGATCTACACTATCCATTCCAGCTCTGTAGTTGTAAGAGTATTGGTTGTTATTATTGAATCCTTCCTAAATTCCATAATTTAACAATAGGCCGGACATCATAATCAAATAATCTCATGTTTGCAGTCCAGTATAGACAGGGCTGTTCTTTCACCCAATAGGTCTACTTAGTGAGGTATAGAATGTGGAGGTAACACTTAACTATAGATGGAGAGTAATCTCCATTCACCAGTTGGGATGCCCTGACCTTGACATTTTGTCACAAAAACATTGATGGCACTGTGCAGAGTTTCATGGTGTTCCCTGGTTCGGCAGGTGTCCAGGACACATTCCTCAAAGGAGGACATTTGGTCAATGGTCTCTGAAAGGCCTACTCTTTCTGATGAGGATCCCACAGTGATGTTCACCTTCAAAGATTTGTCTCTCTGTTGCACAGCTGACATGGCACTTGGTGGAACCAGCCAGGAATGTCCTTCAACTTCCAGTTGTCTGCAACTTGGATAGTGTTCCTGGTATGTTTTCCATCTTTCATGGCATGGCCAGAGAGCCCTCAGGCAAAATTGGCAGAAGCGCTGGGGAGAATGACCCAGCCATAGCTGTACCAATCAAAGCTGATTCCCAGATTAAAGCCTGTTCTGATGGACTCCACTGATGAAGATCCTCAGTATATTTTCATGGGGAAAGGGCCACGGAGACCATTGTCTTGGACAGCAGCAAGGGGTACAAGGTGTGGTCCAATGATCATTAGACGATAAACGAGCTGCACATTTCTGAAGTTCTTTTATCGAATTTCTCCAACTCTGCTGACCTAATCTAGACAGGCACGTCATGTGACAGATTGCAGTGTCAAAAAATTGAGTTCTAGGAAGAAAACAATGTTTGCATACCCACAGTTACAATTTGACTTATAAAGATAAGATATGCAAATTCCATTGGCCTAAATCTGATTGCTAGTTCCTATGAGAGTAAACCAATTGAATAAACATTTGAATACCACGTCAATACCTATACAAATACCATTTATCTAATATTGCAGTTGCTACATGCTGTCATCCTGCTGTAAAAGAGCATGTCTCAAATTTTGTATCTGGCCTTAATATGGTAAATAGGAAAGCCAATTAGATTTGCATAAGCCGGGGAGTTAGGAAAGTTTTAAGGATCAGATCA